TAAATTATATAGGACGTTGTAACTAAAATTTTTATGTATCTTATCTATGTATTTTTCTTATTTTTACTTTTTATAGATTTTAATTCAAGTTAAATTTTCTAATTTGTTTATCTCTAAATTTTAGGATTTTCAAAAAAATGGAAGTGATAATGTTTGTGTGCATAAATAGCATGAGATGGATAGATATTTCAAATAAGTATTTGAAATTCCAAAACAAATAGTACGGAATATTCAAAAATTTATAAAAATAGTGGATTTTGATTCTAATGGTTTTCTTTTGATTTTTTTATTTTTAATTTTATTTTAATTTTTGATTGTTATGATATAGAATCAGATGCTGAGGTTGTTGATTTGAATTTTGCAGACTATATTTTGTATTTTTTTTCTCTTTTCTCTTTTTTTTTTTTTTCCTTGATCCTAAACGTATTCTGTAAACTAAGCAAAAAGTGATTATTAATCAATTAAATTAATTAATATTTTGGATCATGGGTTCATCTGTCTTTCTCTGCCGTATGCACCGGCGACCGGAACATCTTCGCTCCTGGAGAACAGAATGATAAGTTCATAGCTAAAAATATTTTTATGTTAATAGGTTGCCATAGAATCAATTAATTAATTTTTTTGCAATTAAACAAAGGTCGTCATTGTTATTTGAACTAAAGACTAAGTTGATAGTATAAAGTTTCTCAACTGAATTTTAATTTTATTTGAGTTGCAAAAAAATTAGGATCCCATAAAAAAAATTCATATAATCAATAGCCTAAATTATAATAGTTCATATAATCAATAGCCTAAATTATAATTCAACAGATTATCATTCAAGTCCCAATAAAACTTTCAATTTCTAAAATTAGTCAAATTTCAATTAATCATATTGAATTTCATAAAATTCAACTCAAAAAATAATAATAATAATAATAATATTTTCATTCTTACCAAATTTGAAAACATAAAATTTTAAATAAAGTGAAATTATCATTTATTATTATCATTATAATGAAATTAATAAGTTTTGCTTTTCAGGGAACCGGAAAAAATAAAAAGAATGGGAATATCTTTGAGCGTTGGAAGTAAGCATATTCACCTATTTTTTTAGAACAAAAAAAAAAAAAAAGCATTTTAATTATTAGAATGGGTAAAATTTCAACCGAAAATTGTTTTTATTTTGAGTTAATTTATTTCAGATGTTTTGACTGTCAAGGATTTGGGCTGAAAAGTTTTAATTATTTATTTTCTGTTCAATCAATAAGAGAAAATTACAACAAATTTAATGCTGAAAAGAGTTTAAAAGGTGTGTACGTAGGAAAATAGAACTAGATTCTATAAAAATTTTATGAAAATTATTTATAAATTCATATATTTATAAATGGAAATGGATTTACAAATTCATATATTCATATTGGATACAAATGGAAATCTTTTTGCAGTTCTACTTTTTTAGTTTTATAAAATTAGTTAGAGTAAAACCAAAATTTATTAGAATTGATAGAATTCTAAAATTTAGAATAACTGCTCTTTGCACAAGTTGTTTTGTTACTATATATTATATTTTTTACTACCAAGTTACAATATTTATCTAAGTTACAATAAATTATTGAGTAAATTGATCATATTACCCTTAATTTAATATTAATTCTCTAAGAAAATCATTAAATTGAAGTAATAATTACTCGTTATATACACCGTTAAATTGCTTATTGTTTTGAGTATGGTGATGGATGATTGTTTTGAGTTAGTTTCTAATCTCATCAATGTTAATATGAGTTGACTAGGAAGACAAGAGAATAAAATTACCCATAGCTTAGCTAAGATAGCTATTTCATATGCTAATTTTCAACTGTGGTACGAGCTTCAAAATTGAAACTTTTGTTCTCGATGATTCTATTACTGAATAGAGCTTCTATTCTATATATAAGTAGCTACCAACAAGATATTAATTGAGGTAGTTAGCAATTTCACCGTTCGTGAAAATCCATCTACAGCTTTCATAGAATTGGAGACCACATAGCCTATTAAGGAGTTTTTTGTTTTCGACAAATAGGGGAGAATGACTTTTCATTTTCCCTCCACATCATTGGATCAATTAACCTATAGGCTATTTTCGTACTTTCCTACATAAGGATATTTGCATCATCACACATTTTAACAATAAAATCAGGGAAAGATAGATAGAAGAATTTAATAGTTTAACAGAATTAAATCTCGAAAACCATTAATTAATATTGATAAAATGCAGGGACGAGTTAGTTAGTTTGGTCAAACCTTAGAGATGAATTAATTATTTTTCCTTCTCTTAAATTAATAAAATGAGGAAAAAAATATTGTTTTGAAGTAACATAGACATACAAATATAAATATATACTAGTCCTGAACCTGCGTGATGTGCGAATTGTATAATTTTCTATTTTTTAAAATTAAATTGAATGTAATTTTCAAGAAAAATTTTTTAATTTATATTTGCGTTGCTTTAATTTAAATAATTTGCTTATGTACTTTTAATTATATAATTTGCGCGGATTGTACTTTTGCTTAGGTTCTTTTTTAAATTATTCAAATATTAAACTGAAATATTGATTAGCACAATTAATTATTATAAGCAAATTTGTTATTCAATTGATAAATTTAGTTAATTATTTATTTTTTTCTTTGAAGTTCTCGCATATTCAAATTAAATGAAGTATAAGAATATGTAATTTTAATAAAAAAAATATAGTTGAAATTAATATTTTAATTCTATTTTTTAATCTAATTATATTATAATCTATTTTTTAATCTAATTATATTAATAATTAAATTAATAAAACTATGACTCTATTATAACTCCATTTTTTTATAGAATTAAACCTATTTAATAAAAAAAATTATATTTATTATATATTAATGATAAGGAAATCTTATTACTTTAATTGTTACTCCATTATTTAATAAAGAACATTTAATTTTTATTTACAGATAAAAGATATTAATTATAATGATTAAGTAAAATGGTATGTCATTACTTTTATATTCTAACATATTGTCACATAAGCATTCAATTTAATTAAACCAAATCGCTCTTAATTGGAAAATTGATTGTTGAAAACCAAATTGAATCAAATGATTATGAATAATCGAATATGAATTAAACTAAAATATTTAAGTTTTATTGATAGGAAACTACACTGAAATTAAATTAACAAATTCAACTTTTTAAAGGAACCGATTCAACTAAAAATCTAATTGAATTGGAAAAATACCGTCGATTGAAACTACACTGAAATTAAATTAACAAATTCAACTTTTTAAAGGAACCGATTCAACTAAAAATCTAATTGAATTGGAAAAATACCGTCGATTGGGTTTGGTTTTTCAATTTGAATTGATATTTGCATATATTCTTTACAAAAACCAGTTATTCCGATTTATTTGATTTAAAAAAAAACCAAAAATTGATTAACCAATTTTAAAAAAGGCAATAACTAAATTAAATCAATTTTTCTAGATAGTCTAATCAAATTTATTTAGTTTAGTTTAAATTTTCCATTAGAAACCAAATATGCTTGCTATTACTCGGGATGAAAGTGAGACGGTTTCCGAAAATGTGATGATATCCGCAAAATTTCAATTATTCATATTTGCATTCATTTAAAATTTTATTATCTAAAATTTTATTATTTGTACTCATTTTAAATCTGTTTAAATACATGTTTAAGTATCTATTTATTTATATCCAAAATCCATTTAAAGTGTCTCTTGAACGAGTAGAGACCGTAGAGTATCTCAAATTTTTAAATATCCAAATCCGAATTTATCTACATTTTTTATTAATAATGGGTAGAATATTTATGGACACCTATTATCAAACTTCTTTTAATACAACGAGTACTCAGAAACCTATACATATACCCTGCGCGTATCCATTACCGATTTATTATTTCATTCTTTATATCCATCTTAGACTTATTTATAATTATCCATATCCTCTTTAAATAGATTGGTCTAAATAGATTGGAGCAGATGGAAACCCTGATATATCCGTACAGCTTCCATATCTAACTATTACATAGAAGATAAAATAAATTGCATTAGTATTAAATAGATAGGGAAAAAAAAACTTGATTAGACTGAGCCTATGACTTCACTTATAAAATAAACAATAAAACTAAAAATTTTTAAAAAAGTGTATGGTCAGAATTCGTTATAATAAAAATTCTTAATTTTTTCCCGTCAAAATGAACATCAAGCTCCGTGATAAATACTATTAAATAGGAAGTAAAAAAAAAAAAAGTACAAAAATACAAAAAAGAAAATATTAGGAAAATCATTAAGGACCTTTCACCAATTGGATGTGGTGGAAGGAAGAACTCACGTGACGCCGTGAAGGGTTCTTTTAGTCTTTTCTTATTGGCATACTGAAATAAGAAATTTGAAATAAGAAATTTGATTATATAATCTTTTCTTTTCATTAAGTTGTTAACCTTTCTCTAGAAGGGATTAAAGCTGTCAATTACATCTGTCGTATGCCAAGAAATATATTAATCTCCCCAACTTTTGGTATGCTTGGATTTGCATGATAGGAAATATTACTAATCTTGAATTTTACTCACAAATTAGTCACATTCATTGTTTATGAACAGTAACGAATGTGGTGCTTAAGATAAGACAAGAAATCCTTGATCTAGAAGCTCATTGTCTCGAGTCTAGATGGGCAGGTACAATAAGGTCTTAAAATCTGACATTAACCAAATAACTAAAATGAAATTAGGAGATTCACAAACACTTAACTTGCTGTTTGAATGCAGAATGCAAACTCTTATCAATAATACATGGTATAAATCCACTTATTAAATGAGCTAATTCCCATTAAGCTTAGTTTTGGTCTTTTACCTGTATTGGATATTTTTCATGACGTGCTGTTATATATGTTCTGTGCTAAAATTTTTAAAGATTGTTGTGTTGTGCAAGTGTCATTTCCAAAGTTTGTGTTTGAACTTTGGTTAATCTTTCATGTTGCAATCGCATACATGTGAAATGGGTTATTAACCCTTGTTATTTGCATTAATGAAAGCTACAATGCAAGGAAAGCAATCACACAACAACGTCAACCATTTAAGTCTTAATTATTAGTAGTACTGTGAAGGAGGCTAAGAGACAGCAGCCATGAATTCTTTATCAGATTCAAGAGCAGTCATCGAATCTGGGAGAAGGCACACCTCCAAATCCACACTTCCACCACCTTCACGTCCTGGGTAGGCTGACACCTTGCCACAGAATTTATTTGCATACCCACTACGAAGAGACAAAGCTTTACCCAATCCGAATTCACAGCCATACTTACTGAAACGTGGAGAACTTCCGAAGACCACACCATAAAGACCAAAAAACTGGCCGAGATGATAAATAATGGGCGATTTAATCCACGAATCAATCCGGTCGCGAAACTTTTTATCTGTTTGATTAATCACAGCTTGGTGCAGCAGCCAAGCTGCCCATCCAAGATTCTGCTCTAGCAGTTCACATCCTGTGGTAGAAGCTGAAACTGCATCAACAAAGTTACCAAAGTAGTTTGGTGATAAAGGTGGGTTCAATCTTGATCTGTTATTGCATGCTAGGCTGCAATGAGTTACTTGATCATGAGGTATATGACGTGCACGGGTTATGCATCTCCACATAAATGCAGATAAAGACTGGAAGGAGGAAATCTTGTGGCTGCAATGAGTTACTTTGATCATTGACGGTATAATTGCAACGTGCATACGGGTTATGGCCCATTCCCTCCACCATAACCATGCAGATCCAAAGACTGAAGGAGGACAATCACTTGTCCGCCTATTGTACTCTGTATTTGCTTTTTACTTTGAGTTAGACAATAGCACTTCTGCTGAAAAATGAAATATTCTTTACTTTTAGCAGGCCGGTGCCTTCACAATGGGCACTAAGAAACTGTCTCGTGGTGAAGTAAAAGGAAGATTGATCTATAGGACCACAACTTGTCCAGCGAAACCAGCGCTTCACAAAACCTGGCTTGGCTGCGAGCACTTGGAACTGATTCATCTCTTTGGGCTTAGACCAAAAATTTCAGACCAAGTCGTTCAAAAAAATGGCCAATAAGGAGGTTGCCATCCAACCTGGACGTGGTGAAAGAACATCAATGAAGATTCCATCAATTAGTTCTGTAATCTTGAATTGTTAGCAAACGCACCGGACATTTTGACCCTTCATCCATCAATTAGTTCTGTAACTTGAATTGTTAGCAACGACCGGACATGACCTTCATGGTTGAGAGCTCTATGATGGTCAAAGAAAGATTGAACAACCGATGGAACATATGTAGGTGAAAGAATATCTGATACTGTCATTTCAACAGTTGCGTGTACAAATCGAGCACCTGGGCTATTGCTGCAATCCACATAGATTACATATGAAGGGGGATCTTCAGACTTTGAAGTTGCGAGGCGACCTGCAAGTGGGTAGAAATGGACAAGCGTAAGAGCTAGGGAGTGTTTGAGCTTCTCCAAGAGATCAAAGATCTTGAAGTCTTCCTGTGGAGTTGGTTTGGCAAAGAGAAGGCCTCTTTGGATGTAGCAGGCAGAGACCATACCAAGATCACATGGGGACAAATAGTATGGATGTTTTGATTCTTCCGTCATGTGTTGGGGCTTTATGAAGGATTCTGAGATGTGCTGAACTGCTGTTGGATTCATTGCTACGATGGTACTAATAATTCCCGATTGGCCTTAAAGATTTGCAGCTTCTGCTGAAAATTAGAATAGCAGCATCAACTAGAAGGATCAAGAGAAGTATGTAAAATAAAGAGGGTATTGATTTATCGTACACGCTTCTGCTCTTGTACTTGCAGCAATTAATTATTCCTATTGATTTATCGTACACTTGCAGCAATTATCCCTATTCATTTAACATGCCAAAAAAAAAAAAAAAAGGAACTAAAAACAAAAAGGAACTATGGGATGAAACGAACCACATAACATAATTTATAAAAAAAAAAAAAAAAAGGAATATGGATGAAAGACCACATACATAATTTATAATGAAAGATCACATATATATTTGCTAGTAAAAAAAAAAGTAAAAGAAGAGCAATTAAAACATACCATATAAATGAGAAGAGGAAGAACAAGCAATTTACTGTTAGCCATTGCTAATATTTTCTTAGGTTTTAAATTTTAAGATTGGGAATGTTTGAGTTTCAACTCTTGCTATACGTCAACCATAGGAACCAATAGTTTGTTGCTTAAGTGTAGGGAGAGTTGACTAGAGATAAATGGTGCTGTTTAAGTCGTCTTTGGGGGACAAAGAGGTTTTGGTCAAGCTAAAAAATTATTATGTACTACATTAACAAGGACCTTGACTTTTAAAATTACACTAGATAATAGAAAATTATAAAAGTTTTAATAGAAGAATAGTAGTATTTTGTAGTATAGTAGATACATAATTCAGTAACTAGATAATATAATTAAAAAAAAAAGGATTACTAATATATCTGACCAAACTTTATGGACTCTAAAATAATTATCCTTAAATTTATTTTGAAGGGAATAAGTATTATATTACATACTCCCTGTCCCGTTTTATTTGCTTATTATTATTATTTTTAGATATTTCAAAATGTTTGTAAGGTTTATAAATTTATATATATAAATAATTATTTTTTCATAATAACTTTTATGATCTTTTATTAAATGAATGATTTTTATTAATATCTTAATAAGTTACGAGTTAAAAAAAGTAAAATAATTTTTATTGATTAAATTCTTAATATACATACTTTGTCAATGCATGCAAACAAAATAGAAGCGAGAAAGTATATACTAAAACAGAAACCCAGTTCACTATTCATAGAATATTGAATTGACAACCTAACCATCTCCTTTTTATGCTATTCTATTTTTGTCCTTTTAGTTTCAATATTATTGATTTTCACCACCTGCAATCCTTTATATGGCTATTGTAGTATTTTTGTACTTTTAACACGTGGCATAAAATTATATTCTAGTTTCATACTCTGTATAGAAATATTATGACTTACGCTTTTTTCAATGTTTGCTTTTATGTTCAAGACATTCATAACTACAATAATTTCAGAAATTAAATTGATTCATTAACTTTAAATTAAGTGTCATATCACATATATTTGTGATCTTATGTTTTTATTTTATTTTATCATAGTCTAGCATTAGAACGTTACCGTTTCAAGTAAAGCATTTTAATAATTTTGCCTTCAAAACATTTTCTTTTGTTATAGTTTCTAATTTTTTACTTCCTAAAATACTATAACTTATTGATAATTTATTTAAAATTTATGTATAAAGATTCAATGGTAAAAGGTCATTAAATTAATAATTAAATGTCCAACCGTTAATTTTTAAAAGGTCATTAAAATTAATAATTAAATGTGTCCCAACCCGTAATTTTTCCCTTTTTTAATTTTTTAAAAAGTTATTTTTAATTTCAGTACTCAAAAAAAAAAATTTTTAATTTTAATTTATGTTTCTCAAAATTAAATATTAAAGCATTTTAATAATTTTGCCTTCAAAACATTTTCTTTTGTTATAGTTTCTAATTTTTTACTTCCTAAAATACTATAACTTATTGATAATTTATTTAAAATTTATGTATAAAGATTCAATGGTAAAAGGTCATTAAATTAATAATTAAATGTCCAACCGTTAATTTTTCCCTTTTTTAATTTTTAAAAGTTATTTTTTAATTTAGTACTCAAAAAAAAAAATTTTTAATTTAATTTATGTTTCTCAAAATTAAATATATTTAAATATGTATAAATGAATAAATACAAATTTCAACCCTATAAAAAGATATAAAACTGTTCATTACATATTTATCAACTAGATTATTACTTTAAATTAAATATTTTTTTCAAAAAATAAATTATTCTATAAACATCTTCTTTTGATAATTTTTTTAGTAAATAAGTTGTTTTAATACTCAATCTGTTCTCTTTATTTAGAGAAATTTTCATTTTTGGATATATTTTTTATATAGAGAATTTTACTTTAAATAGTAACTTTGGGATGCAAGCTAAGTTAAAAAGACTAGAAAGCCATTGGAGTGTATGTATTTATTTTAAGACTGAAGCTCGACAATCAAGGAAAGTGGCAAACACATATATTTTCAGCATTTAATGCACGCGTGTTTTAAGCGACAAGTTATCAACTCACCTTTTCATTTCATTTTATAGCAATCATTTTTATAAATTTGGCTACAAAATTAAAGTTCTGACATTGAAAGTCAAAATAATAGCCACATAAATATAGAGTTAGCTCTTATTTGTATGTTTGATAAATATATGTCCACTTTTCTCATTGTAAATTTAGGCACAACCGTTGACATCAGGAACGAATATATGTTATGCTCAGTTAAGTTCTGAAAACAACCACGTTTTATTTTTAAAAGAACGACTGTGTTTTGATATTCAAAAAAGGGGAAAATTAAAGTTTGGTTAGAAACCATTCTCTTAAAAACCCCTAAAATTCCCTCTCTCTCCTGTGGCCACATTTTGTAGCCTTGTTATTATTAGTTGTACACTTTTTCAAATTCTTATAATGGTTACTCTTTTGTAACCCACTTATAATGGATGTACACTTAGTGACCTTGTGTTTTTAGTACTTGTGCACTTTTTTAATGGTTTTTATTTTTCTGTGTTAGTTAATGATTATGAACTTCTATAAGCCACTTTGTAGCCTTTTTATTATTAGTCGTGCACTTCTGTAAACCATTTTGTGGCCTTGTTATTATTACTTGTGCAATTTTTCAGTAGTTCTTATTTTCTATGTTAGGTAAGGATTGGAAACTTCTATAAGCCATTTTACGGCCTTATTATTATTAGTTGTGCACTTTTCAAATCCTTATAATGGTTGTACTCTTTTGTAACCCACTTATAATGGTTTTACACTTGGTGGCCTTTTGTTTTTAGTACTTGTGTATTTTTTCAATGGCTTTTATTTCTCTGTGGTAGTTGATGGTTGTGAACTTCTTTAAGCCACTTTGTGACCTTTTTATTATTAGTCGTGCACTTCTGTAAGCCATTTTATGGCCTTGCTATTATTAGTTTTGCACTTTTTCAAATCCTTATAATGATTATACTCTTTTGTAACCCATTTTATGACCTTATTATTATTAGTTGTGCACTTTTCAAAATGTGAAGTTGTCACACATTTTGTTAGATTGTGCACTTTTTTAAAAAATTATGCCTTCAAACTCACACTAAAACTCGAATTTTAGTACTCACTCTCAAATTAAAACTTGTTAAGAGACCAAATACAATAATTGTCATTTTTAAGGAAGACATAAGTATACGAATATAAATTGATAAGACAAGATAACAAGATTACAAATTGAGAAGACAATTTGTCCACAAATGATGCAGAAGCGCCCAATTCAGCAGCTAGGGCCCTATAATCATGCGCCTTCTAAAGGATATTTCCTTCATCCTATCAGCTGAGATATGTACTCTTTTTTTACCTCTATTCCAAGGACATTTACAGCTATTGGAATTACCTTCAGGATTCATTCTTGCATTTTTCCATATCTTATAAACTGTCTTCACAGATATGCCAAAAGCGTTCGCAACTTTTCATAACTGTACTCGTTCAACTTACCATCTTCAACTTCAGACAGAAGCATGGTGCTAGAGAGATTTTGACATCATCAGCTCCATTTTTTATTTTGTTCTCTCGTCTCACGTTGCTTTGAACAAAATATTGAGGTAACTCATATTATAGACAACGGTAGTCATTTCTACTTCATTATGTATAAGATTCAAATCTGGAGGATGCGAAGTAGTGACCATTTTTAGATATGGTATGATCGATTTAGATATTATAGAGAAGTGAATAGATTTTTCTTGAATTAGATCATTAACTGCGATTTCATTTATATATGGCCAAAGTTTAGAAATCGAGGAGTTCGATTATAAACTCAAAAAATTTGGCTCCAATTCTATTTCATTTTGGCTGCAATGTATTGCATTTGGACACTATTTTCTGAATTTCATTTAAATTTGGAGAAATCAAATTTTGTTTTTGATTTTGAATTTGAATTAAAAAATTATTCAAGTTTAAACAAGTTAGAGCGAAATTTAGGTTTTCCCTCCTTATTTTTGCCGAAAATTTTGGAAATAGATGACCTTTAATGAATAAGTTCAAAAATTTACCTTTAATTTGGCTCCAAAATTTTTTTCGTTTTTGGGCACATATTACGTAAAACGTCCTCATTCTAATAAAGTGTGATAAAGTTAATAAAGAAGGTTGGAAGTGAGGGACCAAATGTTGCAAGTAAGCAATAAATGCACTTCTTGGGACTACCTTTTGTGTCGGCTATTGTTTCCATAATTAATGAAGAAATGAAAGGCATTTTAAGGAGAAAACTTCACATAACTAACTTTCTTAATCCAAAAGCTTTTTCTGTTTTCTCAAAATAAAGGGAACAAATGAGTAAATAAAATTTGATATATTAGATAATTATTTTATCTCTAAAACTTTCATTTTTTATAATTGTGTTGAAAAGGGTAATTTTTTATTTACACAATTAAAGAGTAACATTTACATTTGATAATAAAAATAAATATTCTATAAGTCATTAGAGCTATCTAAAGATTTATATTTAACTATTTTAAATCTAATGGTAAAATAATTTCTGTATTAATACATAATTTTTAATATATGTATGATAGTTTTACCCTATACTTATATTATCTTTTTTTTTTACATGAAAATGGATAATTTATTAATTAAGAATAGCATTTGAGAGAATAGTACTCTTAATACACGAGGGAAGAGTGTCCCAAATGCAAAAGCCAGCTTGATTGCATGCTTCTCTAGCTAAGCTATGGGTAGCCATGTTTACTTGCTTCGAATCTAAAAAATATTATCAATTTCCATTTGACCTTGAAGCCATTGAATATCTGAAATAATTCTATCCCAGTCCGAAACATTAGTCGTGAAATTGTTTATTGCATTAGCCACCATCAAGGAATCTGTCTCGAGGAGAACAGAGCCCATGCTATTAGAAGATAGCCATTGAAGCATATGACGCACAGTACGAGCCTCTGCTATAGTTGGTGAAACAACAAGACCAAGAAGACAACCAGAAATAGCTCTGAAAAATTGACCACGACTATCCCTAAACACAGTAGCAAACGAGAAATGATCACCACGAACGACAACATCAATATTACCTTTCAAAACACCATCTGCTGGAGGCAGCCCTCTTGTATTAGAAATCACAACAACGGGCAAAAAAGCAATATAAGGTCTGGAAATGGAGTTAGCTGCTACTCCCCAATCCTACAAATAACATCTAGCAAAAGACAGAATAGTATAAACGGATCTATGCACATTATTCCAAATATATGCATTATGAGCATTCCATATATTCCAAGTAAGCATACACACTTCTTCAAGAACTCAATTATTCAAGCTAAAAAATGATGAAAAAACATCATAAAAGGAGTGCTAAAATAATGATTAAAAGTGATTAATAAATAAGAAAACTTATAAAAAGAAATAAGAGGAAACGCTAAAATAACATACAGCTAACTAACCTTTTTAAAGTTTTATTTCTTAAAAAATATAATATTGTTTGGAATATTATGAATATATATGATTAAAATTTGAAACTCTTGATTATTATCATATACTTATATTATCCATTAGTTATTAATAAATAAGAAAATTTGTAAAAAATATAAAAGGAAATTAAGAAATGATTATATAGTGATTAATAATAATAAAATTTATAAAAAGAGATAAAAAAAAAAAGTTAAGATATCAGAGGCCTAACTCAGTTTTTTAAAGTCTTTTTTTTTTTTGCTTCAAACTTTTTTTTACCTGATTATGGATATATATGATTAATATTATAGTCAATAAAGTTCAAACAAAAACCTGTTACTTGAAGATTCATAAACTCCCGCCATAAAACAGCCATATCACCTCCGTGACCCAATCAATCCACAGTAAAACTAACAGAAAATATCAACTATTGTCGAACTTGCTCCACTTTACTCTCCTGCGCTAGCGTTTCGATAAAAAAAACCATCAACGACTTATATCTCAAGGTCTGCTCCTTGAGAGCTTTTACTGTGTGGGGGTTGCCAAGTCCCCGATAGTTCCAGCATAGAGTATTCATTGCATCTAGCTATCCATGACCCTAGGATCAACCGATATAAATGGAGATGAAGCCACAATCAAATCCTTGGAACTAGAAGCGATTGAGACAGTTTTCTTTTGTGGTCGTGGTCTCTTCTTCCCATCATCAGTTTGTGGAATAGCTTCATTCTCAAAGGAACTTAATTTTTCACCGTTGTTATCCAAGTCCATGAAGTCTGCATCTTCCTTCCCCTAACTGACTTGCGATAGATTACCCATAAAAGCTCTATTGAACTCATGAACCTCGAGACTATGACAATTTGGATCCAGTTCCCTTCCCACGAACACACCCCTACCAGTATCATATGCACCATTATCCTCTCTCAACCACACACTCAACTTGTGGGTCTGTCTTCTCAGACGAACCCGCAAACTGTTATCCCATTCAAGCATTATTTCTTCCTTTCGCCTCTATAATCTGATCTCATAGAAACTATTTGTATGTGATGGGTCCCTATCAAAGCCAAGAGAATTGAACAAGAGAGTAAGAAGTTTCAAGTGTTTTTCATTAATGAACTCTATGCAGATATAGGGGAAATAAATAGGAAAAGAATGAAAACTACATAGTCCTATTCTAAATGCCACAAATGGACTTTATGAGTTAAAATAGCCAAGATTTGCTGACACAATCACAACAGCAAACTGACTTTATTAAACCAACATAAAAAAGAATTACAGCAGAAAATAATTCCATCAGCAGCACAGATATAAGCTAGAGCAAAACTTAGTCCAAGTACTTCTTATTCTTGATAGGCACCCTTGCAGATCTTCGTGGTGATCTATCATTGCTTCCCCCTTTCAAAGGAACCTTGTCCTCAAGGTTCAGAGCAGGAAACCTTGACTGCAATTCTGCAGAATTTTCCCATGTAGCATCTTCATGCGGCAAATGTTTCCATGGAACCAGACTTTCCTATACAAATCGTGAACCATTGCGAATCCACCTAGTATCCAACACCTCCTTTGGTTCCAAAACAGTATCACCATCAATAGACAATGGTGGCAAATCAATAGACACAGGCACATCATCACCAATATGCTTTTTAAAAAGCAACACATGAAAAACTGCATGAATCTTAGAACCAGCAGGCAGCTGCAATTTATAAGCCAATTTCCCAATTCTTTCTTCCACCGGAAAAGGCCCATAATAACGACTTGCTAGCTTTTGGGAAGCTCTCCTGTATACTGAATGTTGGCGATACGGCTAGAGCTTAAGATAAACATAGTCACCAAATTGGAACTCAACATCTCTACGTTTCAAATCAGCAGTCTGTTTCATTTGATTAGCGACACGCGAAAGATGGAGTTTCTGTTCCTGCGAGATTTCATCTCTAGTGACCAATGTTTGATCTACTTCATGAACAACTGATTGACCCAATTCATACCGTGGTACCACAGGTGGAGGTCTGCCATACAAAGTCATGAAAGGAGACATACCAATCGATCTGTGAAAGGAGGTATTATACTAGTATTCAGCCCAAGGCAGGAATGAGCTCCACTTGCGTGTTTGTTGAGATGCAAAACAGCGAAGGTACCGCTCCAAATATCTGTTAGTCACTTCAGATTGTCCGTCAGTTTCATGATGATAAGATGAACTCATATTCAACTTGGTATCGGACAATTTGAAGAATTCACGCCAAAATTGCTAATAAAAATTGGATCCCCATCACTGACTATAGACTTGGGCATTCCATGATACTTAACGACCCCATCAACAAATTTGTCAGCCACAATTTTGGCAGAATATGGATGAGACAAAGGCAAGAAGTGTGCATACTTGCTAAGTCGGTCAATTACCACCAACACCGAATTTTTACCACAAGAAGATGGAAGTCCATCAATGAAGTCCATTGCAATATCATCCCAAACTTGGTGTGGAATTGGTAATGGTTGGAGAAGCCCTGTCGGCGACGAGGTGGAAGCCTTATTTGTCTGACAAACAGAACAAGCAGCAATGTATTCTTGAATATGTTTGCGCATAGAGGGCCAGTAAAACTGCTGAGCGATCCGCTTGTAGGTGCGCAAGACTCCTGAATGGCCTCCACAAGGTGAATCATAAAATTCCTGTAAAAGTTTACAAGTCAAATCAGAATTAGGAGGGACCACCACCCGATTCTTGTAAAAGATTAAACCATTTCGCCAGAAATAAGGGTTCCCAGGTTTCTCTGTGGCTAATTTGCTCACGCCAATCATATAAGGATGTGTGAAGACAATTGCTTGAATCTGATCCTATGGAGAAGTATGAGGGAGGAAAAGAGTATTGAGACTGGGGCTGCCAACAACACGGGATAAGGCATCTACAACTTTATTTTCTTTTCCCGGTTTGTATATGATTTCATAATCAAACCCTAACAGTTTGGAAACCCACTTTTACTGTTCAGGTGTGACAATCTGTTGTTCCACCATGTACTTGAGGCTGCGTTGGTCAGTTTGGATGTAAAATTTTCGGCCAAGTAAATATGGTCGCCATGTACGGATAGCTTAAAGTATAGCTAGCATCTCTTTAGCAAAGGTGGACCAAGACTGTTTGGAAACTCCCAAGGCGCGACTCATGAATGCAATGGGCCTATCTCGTTGGGATAATACAGCTCCGATGCCATTATTGGAGGCATCTGTGGTGATGACAAAGGACTCGTCGAAATTGGGCATTGCAAGTATAGGCGTTGAGGACATGGCTCTTTTCAAGGATGAAAAAGACACATCCGCCTCGTCATTCCAGGAAAAATGACCCTTCTTCAACAGATTGGTTAAAGGCTGAGCTATAACTCCATAATCATGAATGAATTTCCTGTAATAACCTGTCAAGCCTAAAAAGCCACGTAAATTAGAAACATTAGTGGGTTTAGGCCAGTCAAGCATCGCCGTTATTTTCCTTTGATCCACTTGAACACCATCATGAGATACAATGTGACCTAAATACTCAATTTGCTGCTGTCCAAAAGCAAATTTACTGAGTTTAATGTAGAACTTATGATGTTTCAGTAGTTCAAAAGCCAAACGCACATGTTCTATATGCATGTTCCAATTTGGGCTATAAATTAAAACATCATCAAAGAAAACTAATACAAATTTTCTTAAATAAGGGCGGAAAATAGTGTTCATGAGAGCTTGGAAAGTGGAGGGAGCGTTACACAAGCCAAAGGGCATTACCAAGTATTCATAGTGGCATTGTGTGTGCGGAAGGCAGTTTTATGGACATCTGCAGGGAGAAACATTTAGTGGGTTTAGGCAGGTTCAGCATCGCCGTTATTCCTTTGATTCCACCTCTTGAACACCATCATGAGATTACAATGTGACCTAAATACTCATTTGCTGCTGTCCAAAAGCAAATTTACTGAGGTTTAATGTAAGAAACTTATGATGTTTCAGTAGTCCCAAAAGCCAAACGCACATGTTCTATATGCCATGTTCCAATTTGGGCTTATAAATTTAAACACATCAAAGAAAACTAATTACCAAAAATTTCTTTAAATAAGGGCGGAAAATAGTGTTTCATGGAGGCTTGGAAAGTGGAGGGAGCGTTACACGAAAGCCAAAGGGTTCATGAGAGCTTGGAAAGTGGAGGGAGCGTTACACAAGCCAAAGGGCATTACCAAGTATTCATAGTGGCATTGTGTGTGCGGAAGGCAGTTTTATGGACATCTGCAGGGTGAACCCGAACTTGATGAAACCCCGCGATGAAATCAAGCTTAGTAAAATAAGTAGCCCCATAAAGTTCATCCAGCATATCATCCACAATAGGAATTGGAAATCTATCCCGAATTATTACAGCATTCAGAGCCCTGTAATCCATACAAAATCGCCAAGAGCCATCCTTTTTCTTAACAAGTAGGACAGGAGAAGAAAAGGGACTTGTGCTAGTCCGAATTAGCCCTGAGTTCAACATGTCATGAACTTGTTTTTCAATTTCGCCTTTATGAAAGTAGGCATACCTGTGCTGCCGGACATTGACGGGATTCGTTCCCTCTTTAAGGTTGATTCGGTGGTTAATTTCCTGCTCTGGAGGAAGCTGATTCGGCCTTTGATAGATGTCCGAAAACTGATCTAGCAAAATTTGCATTTCTGGGTGAATTCCTTAAGGGAAAATTGTTGATGAGGATTCCATGAAAATGGCAAAGAGTGAGCTGCTGTGTCTTAGTTCTTTGGACATCGCCTTCAAGGAAAAAGATTTAATCTGTTGATCTCTGATTCCTTGTAGGTGTTGTTGCTGGCCTTTCCACATAAAGTCCATTGTCAACCGTTTCCAATTACATTGAACCGTCCCCAATTGCTGAAGCCATTGAACTCCTAACACTACATCCAAACCTATAATTGGCAGGGAATAGAATGTAACAACAAAGGGTATACTTTGTAAGAGAATAGGAGTATTTCTGAATTTACCATTGCATTACAAAGGGCTTCCGTTCGCTACTTTCACATTAAAAGGTGTAGTCGGCTCCACTGGCAGTTTGAGTAATCCAGCTATCTTTTCATTGATGAAGTTATGTATGGATCCGCTATCAATGAGGACAATTAATTCAAGGGACTTGATCTTAATAGCAATCCGCATAGTACCTATTGAGGACTACCCAGGATCCGCTATCAATGAGGACAATTAATTCAAGGGACTTGATCTTAATAGCAATCCGCATAGTACCTATTGAGGACTACCCAGTAAGTGCGTGTAATGAGATCTCAGGTTTGATATCATCATCATCTTCCTCAATGTCAAATCCGCCATCCAGGAGAAGGAGTTGCGGTTTGGAACACCTGTTTCTAGGGACAAACTTCTCGTCATAATTAAAGCACAACCCCTGAGTCTGCTGTTCCTGCATCTCTTCCCAGGTAAGCCACTTCACTGGGGTGGATGGTTTAGTTTTTGTCGGAGAGGAAGAGCTTGTCTGGTAAGATGGGCGAATTGCCTTCTTTTGGCGCAGCAATTGCTCATCTTTCATTCGAGCTAAACTGATGGCATCCTTTAATGTTTTTGGTTTGAACATTCTGATGTCGTTGGCAATTTCTAGTTTAAGGCCACCCATAAACGTCCCAACTAGCGCTTTCTAAGTCCAACCTTTAACCCCGTTTCCAAGCCTTTCGAACTCCCTTTTATAGTCTCGTAAGAGTCCTGTTTGACGAATTTTTGATAAAGACTCATCAAAGTCTTCGCAATCAGTAGACCCAAAGCGAGACCATAATTCCTCAAAGAAAACTTCCCACGATACATCTTTTCCTTCGTCCTTATGGGTTCTGCAAAGCCACTGCCACCATTCATTGGCCGCCCCTCAAAGGTGGTAAGAAGCCAAGGATACCTTCTCAATTTCTGGGGTCCCTTGGAATTCGAAAAATTGGCTCACCATAGTGAACCATTCTATTGGATCCTCTCCTGAATATTTTGGGAACTCCAATTTCGCCAATTTGGAAGAGAACATGGGTTGCCCTCCTTCTTTGGTCACATCTTGGTTGATATGAATTTGGCTGTTACGATTACTTGCACTACTGGAATCATCTCTGTTGGGTAGAGCAATTTTAGAGAACTTAGTAATGGCTGCCTTGATTTGTTGCAGCTCATCACTAATTCCACATTCCATTTTAGATAAACTATATTGGAGCTGGCCAAGCCCAACCTCTAGATTTTCGATTCGCTCTTTGTTTGTAGCCATGAAAAGAGGAAAAGAAAAGAAGAGAATAAGATAAACTGGCTTTGATACCACTGATGGGTCCCTGTCAAAGCCAAGAGAATTGAACAAGAGAGTAAGAAGTTTCAAGTGTTTTTCATTGATGAACTCTGCTGCAGATACAGGGGAAATAAATAGGAAAAGAATGAAAACTACTTAGTCCTATTCTGAAGGCCACAAACGGCACTTTATGAGTTAAAATAGCCAAGATTTTATGACACAATCACAACAGCAAATTGACTTTATTAAACCAACGTAAAAAATAATTACAGCAGAAAATAATTCCGACAACAGCAGAGATATAAGCTAGAGCAAAGACTTAGTCCAAGTACTTCTTATTCTTGATAGGCACCCTTGCAGATCTTCGTGGTCATCTATCAGTATGTCCCAACTTACCACACAAAAAGCAAGACACAAACAACCTCTCGTATCGGAAAGAACAAAGAAAGCCTCCCTACTTGCGCAAGTAACATCTTGCTGTCATATTCTAGAAGTTCTCTAATGAAGTTCCCAAGAGATTTTGCTACTGTCACCATCATAAAACCTTTGGGAAGGTCATGTACTTGTGCCCAAAAATCAAAAAACAGGAGAGGGACTAACTATAACATCCCTTCCCGGTCCACCCGTTAACCCAAATGAACCGAGCCGAAACGCTACAATCTGGTTGACTCTATGTCCTATCATGCTAATATCATAAAGTATACTGACTATTATATCATGATGATGTTGTTTACATTAATACTGTACTTCATATTTACAAGACATGATACTAGTTTTCAAACTGAAATGGGCCCAACTGTGTGCCCTGTACATGCCATGATAAGGATAAATAAAACCAAAATATCAAAATGAGTAGCTACCCTGAAGACTGAGTCTTCCAAAGATGAATTGCAGCAGTTGTAAGCTGACTCTCTACGGTCCAGTCCCAAAACCTCTGAGACTGGAGTCTTCCAAAGATGAATTGCCAAGCAGTTTGTAAGCTGACTTCTACGGTCCAGTCCAAAAACCATAAACGAGTTAAAGCAAGTAACTCGCTGAGCGCAACATAAAGCTCAGTGGATAACTCACCTGATAGAAACAAGTAAGCACATACATATGTAGGAAAATAAACTTGAAAGCAAGCATAGGATAACTAAACATGTAATCACACATATCACGAAGTACTTTTCATTATACTTCGATTTTCCGTTTTCTTGCTGTTTATTATGCTGTATGGAACTTATGCAATGTTTAGTCCATATAACTGTATGGCTCTATAAGGTTATAAGTGAAACCCAAAGTGATAAGAAGAACTGTACTGAAAACTGGATGAATACTGTATGAACTGGGCTGCTATGGCCATTATATAATCATAGTCACTCAACGGCCTGTAGCCGGAGTACCAGACTGTATGGGGCGCAGATCTGCTATCCTATGTCACGACATAGCATTATCTACGTGGTTTCTACCTAACCTCAGTGGAGCATAATAGCGGTATGTCAATAGTATAACACAAAAGCATATTAACGTATTAAACCTTCACTCCAAAAAGCTTGAGCTCTTCTTAGCTTTCTTTTGCTGCTACCTTTGAGCTCACTTCACCTATAAATAAGAATTCTTATGAATACTCTAAAAATATCACTAAATGACTCAATTATGAAATTCAAGAAGGTTTACTTACTTGGATAGAATAGAGGTTGAATTGAATGCTTAACTACCCTTAAAAATTGATGGAGATACAGTTGAAGAAGATGGAGAAAGGAATTTGAGGAAAGGAGATGAAGGAGATGAAGATAACGATAAAGAAAGGAAAATGAAATGGTAAGCACGGGTAGGCTCTAAAATATCAATGATTTTGTGTGTAAAATTACCAAATGGTACCTCACTTGTCAAAAGGTTACACGAAATGGTACCCTCACTTGTCAAAAAGGTTTACACCTTTAAATACCCAAGCTTTATATTTTGAGTGCAAGCAAGTCCTAAATCCTTATAACTTTGATCTTTGTTTATGTAAAATAAATCCACTTCTTTATCATTAGTAGTATAAACCTCCCCATCCTAGCCGCACTCTGGACTCCCTCTGGACTCTAATGGCTCGAACCGGATTTCGGTTCAGCCCGATTCAACTCGACTCTATGCAATGACTCGACTCAGTAGAATGTCACACTAACATGGGGTCTTCATCACCCTTTAGGTGGTGTAAGATAGAAAATGTTTGTTGAAGAGCCACGGGGAGCCTGCTTGAACACGTTCAAAATCCACTTCATTGTAAAAATGAAACAGAAAATGTTTTGCTCCAAGGTTAGTAACAATAAAACACCCCAACAGATGCCATAAATCTGCAAAAGTGGTTACCATGGATAAAAAATTGATTGAGTTGAAGGTCAGAAACATTCCCACCATACAAAAATCTTGCTACGGTTCTACCATGCTTGAATCCTCTTGTATATTGTACCCTTCCTCCTTTGTCTCGTCAAGAGAAAGAGATTCCATGCTACACTCCATACTAACCCCAGCCAGAAAAAAATAAGAAGTGATTAATTAATAAGAAAATTTATAAAAAGAGAATGCTAAGATAGAAGAGTGTCACTTTAGTTTTTTAAAGTTTCTTTTTACTTCATGTTATATATGATTTATTTTTGAATTAGATTATGTATATATATGATTAAAATTAGAAACTCTTAATTCTTTTCAGATACTATATTATCAATTAATTATTGAAAATAAAAATTTTTAAAAAAAGATAAGAAGGAATTAGAAAGTGATTAATAAGTGATTAATAAAAAAATGTAAAAAAATGCTAAGTAGGAGGGTGATAACTCAGCTTTTGATTTTTTTTTTTTTTTTTTTTTTTCTATAACTCAGCTTTCTTGATTTTTTTTTTTTTTTTTTTTTTTTGCTTAGCAAATATGTATGGTTTTTTTTATCTAGTTATTGTATTCATCATAATACTTTGTGCATTTTTTTTTTTTTTTTTTTTTTGCTTAGAATATGTATGGTTTTTTTATTAGTTATTTATTATCATATACTTGCACGGATATGATTTTTTTATGGATATATATATAATTAAAATTTTCAAATTTTAATTATTATCATTTATGTATATTATCTATTAGTTATTAATTAGGTAGCACAGACACGGACATGAGATATGAGACACAATACGGACACAGGATACAGTAATTTTTGAAAAAGTAAGATACCGACACACTACATTAAATAACTACAATTTATTAATAATCCAAGTAAACAATCATTTATAATAAGTAATAAACATAAAATGAAAATATTTAATTTTTTATGTTAATATAATTAATCAAGCTCTCAAAACTAACATCACCATTGAAATTATTGCATCTCTAAACTTATTTAGAGATAAATTGACAATTTAAGGTTCCGACAACTTTAAAAAGAGATCAAATTAATCCCATCGATAGTATACATTTTAATTTGTTCAATATAATATTGTTGACTCTTTTTTAATAACAGAATTTCGAATTATTGATTTCAAATCAACATTGAGAATTAATTCTTGAATTTAATAGTGATACATATGTAATAAATTAACAATTGTAAATAATAAGGCAAGAGTTTTTTATTTTTTGATGTATCTTTTAAATTTATATTAAGTATTAACAAATATATTTTTATGACAATAATATTTTTTGTTAAAAAATTTACCTAAGAGTCTAATAGAATTTTTATATGTGTCACTAAAGTGTCCAATAAATCCCCTCAAAATGTCTTAGATGTGTCCATAAAGTGTTTATAATTAATAAAATAAAATAAATAATAGGACACATTTTTTAAGTGTCTGACACGTGTTCGGGGTATCTAATGAGCGTTGGTGTCCAACATGGGTACATTAAACCTTTTAAAGTACCCGTGTATTAAAAAAAATAAGAAAATTTGTAAAAGAAGACTAAGAAGTGATTAATAAATAAGAAAAATAGAAAAATAGAAGGCTAAAAAGGAGAAAACTCTTGAATATTCACTTTATTCCAGCTTTTATATATTTAATATATATATATACCTATATTTATTATATATATATATACCCTTTATGATATATACACTTATGTACATCCTTTTCCTTTTTTTTTTTCTCTATACGTATTGTTTTTTCCATTGTTCTTAAAACCAGACTGAATTGACTCATTCGATCGATTTAATCGAAGCCAGATTGTGATCCAGTTTGGATTGCATAAAAAAATTAGTAATTCTAACAACTGGCATAAACTAGTCAAAACTGGATGAAAACTGTTAGAAATCAGTGAAATGGACCGACTAAAAATTGATCAAATTCTGGGTTTTCTAAAAAATGTAGGCCTTTAGAATTTAGGCCTCTTAAAAATTGGGACACTCATCTTTTAATTTTTGGACCTCTTTATTTCTAAACAATTTTTTTAGAAACAATTAAATTGTCTTAAAGCCAAATGTGAAAAATAATATTATATTTTATAGTTATTAATTGATTTTTTTATATTAAATTTAGTCATATTTTATTCTTTTTTTTATTCTTTTCTTTATTCTTTTTATTTAAAATTATTTATTAATTTTATATTCTTTTATAAAAGCCAAATTTATGGCATTTTTTTATATCAAAATTTTTTTAGCCTATATTTTCAATTTTATGTAATAAATATATTTAAAAATATTATATATAAAAATTTGGCTGAACCATATTGAACCTGGTTGAACCCTCCGGTTCAATGAATCTTTACCTTCACTGATTCATTAATTGGTCTGGTTTTCAAAATACTGATTTTCTCAAAAAATATTTTTTTAAGAAAATGAAAAGTAGGTTGTTGCTTAAACAGGTATTTTTTTTTAAAAAAATTGAAATATTATGTATATGTATTTGAAAATTTATTTTTAAAAATATATCCAATCAAGTTATATAAACATGAAGAAAAAAGAATATATTTATTTCTTTTTTTTATCCCTCTCCTAAAATAAAATCTTTTTAACTTACAATTAAATAATGGAATAAAATATTTTAAAAATAAATTTAAAATTTTAAAATCTTCAAATGTTTTATTATCGCATATATTTATTTAAATGAAATAAATTTAAAAAGTTAAACTTCAAAAATGTGTAATTATCTATTGAAACTTCTTCCTAATCACATTCTTATCTTATCAAAATACCATGTCGTTAACCGTTTAGATTTTTTTTTTTTTAACAATATTTATATGACTTTTGAGATCATGGAAAAATTTATATAATATAATATGGATATAATATAATATAATATAATATAATATACAATATCTCTATTGACTTTTTGAGAATCTACCTCATGGACAAAATACTTCGTATATAACTATAATATGGATATAATACTAATCGATCAGATTCTAATATAATATAATATCGGAATAAATATAATATAATATAATATAATATAATATGGATAGATATAGATATATATATATATATATTTTACCAAAATGAGAGGATTTTCATTTTAATTCCTAATATGAAATTTACAACTATATATGGATAATAATCCAAATCACCTTTGATCTACTTAGCATTTGTACTACACGTATTACATAACTATTTTGACTGGATCAAATCCCTTTATCCTCTCTCTCTTCTTCAACTTTCTCCATCTTTTATTCAGGAATTTATTTATTATAAAATAATAATAATAATAAAAAAAAATAAAAGATCTAAACATGATCATATAGATCTTGTTCATTTGATTAGGCTTTTAACGCTTTTAATTGTTTGTTCTTCTTGTTGGTTTAGGAGATTTGAATTTGAAGGTCCTTGTTTTACAGGAAAAATGTGAGTTATTCTTTGATCACCTCTATATTTCTTTCTTATATATTGATCACATGTTCATCAAGGAAATGGAAATGGAAATGTAATATAATTAATCATGTATTAGCAATAAATTTTCTTTTATTATATATATAAAAAAAAGCTAATTTTCTTTTCTATTTTCCTTAATTGAGCGGTTAAAATACTGAGGTTTAATTATTAGTTCATAGTTGGGAATTTGAATATGGATTCAATGAGAGGCCAAGGAGGCATTCAAATGCTGCTAACTGCAGAACAGGAAGCCCAACATATTGTTTCCTCTGCGAGAAATTGTAAGAAAAGAAATACATTTTTCTATTCTTTTGGAAATATATATTTATTTATTGTTCACTTTCCCTTGTTGAGCAATAAATGTTTTTTTTTTTTTTTTTTTTTTTTTTTTTTTTTTTTTTTTTCCTTGTTGAGCAATAAAATGTTTTTTTTTTTTTCTTTTTTTTTTTTTTTTTGTTTTTTTTTCTTCTTTTTCGTTTTCTTTTTTTTTTTTTTCTTCTTTTTTTTTTTTTTTTTCTTTTTTTCTTTTTTTTTTCCCGTCTCTCTCATCTCCTGATCAGTTGCAACGTTGACACAAGGCTAAAAGCAAGCCGAAAGATGAAGCTGCCACAAAGACAATTGAAGATTTTATCGTTTCCAAGAATGGACTTTCTCTCTACTCAAAAGCCAACTTTCTGAGGTATCACCCGATCTGTGTAGACTGAAATTTCTATTCGCCCTTCTCTGAGAATTCCATTACTATTCTGCTATCAAAAAATAATACATAAAGTCCTTCTCTTCATTCCCTAACACCGTACATTTAATTCATATTTCCAGTTCACTATTGACAACGATTAAAATTATTATTTTTTCTAACTCTATAATATTCAAAATAATATTTTTATAAATTTTTTAATGATCAAAAAATGTATTTTTTCATAAAATTTTTTCATAAAAAATTTTTGAGACCACCTTACATCTGTAAAAAAACGTCATCTCTTGTAAAAAGCTCTAAATTAAAATTGATTCTATTGAGTTCATTGGCAATTTCTTTATTTATAATAATTTAGTTGATTTATTCTATATGTATAAAAATTATTCGGCAAGATACCCTAATAAAAAATCATACTTATTGTTCAACAAGATTATCGAAAATGTATAACCGTAAAGTAAATGAATAATAATTTACTTGAGCAAATCAGAATCACTTCAAATTCAAATTCATTAAACATTTTACTCAAAAATAAGTAAAATAAAGATATATGAAAATAACTTATAATTCAATTCTATTTATATTCTTCATTTGAATAGCTATGCACCTAAAGATCCTCTCTCAATGGTCCAAGTGTTCTATTTCCACTTAACTAAGATAATATTCCTATAGCTATACACCGAAAACATATTATACTAAAAATACAACCATTAACATCCGAATATTAACTTTAAAACAACACTTTATCCTATAATTTTTTTTTTTTTTTTTTTTTTTTTTTTTTTTTTTTTTTTCTCTCTCTCTCTTGATCAGTGAAGTTGACAAGGCTAAAGCAAGCGAAAGATGAAGCTGACAAAGAAATTGAAGATTATCGTTCCAGAATGGACTCTCTCTATCAAAAGCAACTTTCTGAGGTATCAACGACTGTTGTCAGATGAAATATTCTATCGGCCTTCTGAATTTTCTTATATATATAAATTATATATTGATCCAATCATTAGTATTGTTGAGCATTTTATCTCATAATATAATATGAAAAAGATGAAGATTTCAAGAACTGAATAGATCATATTCATATATATCATTTTGTGTTTAATTAGAAGTTCCTAATGATTTAAAAGAAAAAGAACACAGTTTTTTATAGCTTGAATCATATTTTGTGTTACCGAATGTGTGTCTATGTATATATCATCATTAATAAATTAGTAATTGAGTATTTGTCTCATAATATAAATAAAATGAGAAATTAGTTAATAATTATTCCTGAGAAAGTGACTTTTCTAGCTTCAATCGCTATATTTAATATTTAATATTTGATTTATGAAATTCGTAGACAAGTGGGAGTTCAGGGTCCACTGTGAAAAGACTTGAAGAGGAAACTGACACAAAGATTAAGAAGTTAAGGAATTCAGCCTCAAAGGTGCAATCAGATATTGTTGGCATGATCATGAAATATGTCACAACTGTCTAGCCTAATGCATTATTCTTCAATAAGCTTTTTAGCAAGTTTTGGGTTGAGAAATTTTATTTCATCAAATATTGATTTGTTTTGGATACAATGGACATCCATTCTTCTCTTGGTTTGATATTTCAAATGTAATACTCAATCACAGAATTTCTTTTCTCCTTTTTAAGATGATTTTATTTTGAAATGATATAAATAATTTTCCCCACTCCTTAGCTTGGTGATAGATCATGATGCTGTGTTTGGAGCTGTTTTGTATGTAGCTCATTAGACCAATAACAAATGTTGAACAATATTATTAAAATTCTTTTTCTCTAACCAAAGTTACAAGGGAGGACAGGCAACGAGGTAATGAATTTTACATACCTCAGAAACTAAATAATAATTTACCATAGATATTGTCAAGTGAAACAACAAAAGTAGAACTATTTTTTATTATTCTATAAAAATGTCAATAATAGCTGGAAGGGTAAAAAAAATACCCTAAAGAAAGGGCTTGACCATTCATAGCATTGATCTGATTTTGGGTGGATACTTTGGACCTGTATAGCTTCCGGTCGCCATAATTGCTACTTTCTTTCACTACTATCCCTGTAAAGTCCACACAGCAAGGTGAAGTTCAAATAATGTATACTTAATGCATAAACATTTCTTTCACCATGATGTTTTCTTCAGAATCAAATGCAAGTACAATTGCTTAAAAAATCTTGGACAAAATATACTGCTTTATATAAAATATTTACAGTAAAGCCTGCAATTAACATCTATAGGCACATCTAACATGAGTTGGTGATAAAGATTGAGATCAAATTTTGAAAAGTTACAAGCTTTTGGGGATATAGAACACTTCAACCGTCATTTCTAAGCCTCGGCATGAAGATTGTCCATCAAAGCAAACCGGACAGTGTCTTTATCTGATCGCTTGAATTGCAGTTCAGGAAAAGGTCGACTCTGGGAATATGAACAATAAAAGATCAAGCCAGTAACAAGAAGTTCATGAAAGTTAGCACTTTGCCTTCTTGCTACTGCTAAGTACTCTGTGCAAATGGAAAGCTTCACCTTGATCTCCGTTCAAGGACCTTCTCTCCAAACAGCAAACAGTGAGCTGCCGGAGTAACCTCTCAAGATATGAGCGTAAACAGCCTTGGAAATCTTTCAGATTGGGATTTGTTGACAAGATCATTGCATTTACTGTGTCTGCCACAATCTCACGCTGTGACTCTTCCAGAAGGTAGCCAACAGAGGACTCTTGTGGTTTTTCATATGCCAGCAAAGCAACACAGTCCTATAGACAACATGTTAATTCTAGATTTAGGTTTAAACTTCAGTAACATGAGCAGGAAAACGAAGTACAATCTAATACTCTCAGTCAAAGAATTGGCAATTACATATTTACCCCAATCAGCAAAAGCAGCTGATTACATACTCACAAAGCAGCTATCCATTTGAGTCCATATTTTCTTTACATGATATTGAAAAATTCTGGTTGCCTTTAAGATTTCACCAGAGAAACAAATATTAAGCAGAAGCAAAGTGCTCTGCTCTGGAATTTGACCGCCATGATAAATTTCTGTTTGAACATTTCAAGAACAGTGCTATTCAAATCAGAAGAGCTAATAATTTCTTATAGCCCAATGGCCAATTTTACTCTAAAAAGGAGGCCACAAGTTCAAATTGAATCTCTCCCAATTATCAGAATGTGTATATAAATATATATTTTTGCCACCATAGTTGTTGCATAGTGCACCTCAAGTGCAAGGACCAAGAGGTTCAGACCCTGAGTGGCAAGCAATGTTATTTTGGCATGCCCCACTGCTACTTCATTTCATTAAAATAAAAAAGGAAAAAAAATAGAATTACAATTATCGGGATAAATAATGCCTCTAATTCTCCTCAATGTTTTTTAGGATGATTACCACATATGTATAGAACACAACTCTTCTTGTATCTATAAATACATATGGTAAATAAATCAATGTTAAATTACTAATTTCAATTGGTTAATTCACAGTTTGTTCTCTTAAATTATTAATTTCAATTGGTTAATTCACAGTTTGTTCTCTCTTACTTTTTGTTCATGGTCTGCTAAATTTCTAAGCATCATCCTCCGACGAGCAATCAAGAAACCTTAGAAACACATTCTTCAATTCCAATTGCTTTCCAACTCACCTTTTCTACTTTATTAATTTTAAAGATATTCCAATTACTAACATATTTTGATGCTAGAACTTTTTGAAGTGTATGATGTAATTACAAAGAACACTAGTCTTATGTAGGGTCTTTTACATTTTGCATCTCAAGTCACTCAGGCACACACATTAAGCCGTTAACAACTTTGTTTGGCACAAAAGATGTAATATCATTTGATAACTGAGCTTTTCATTACCTGAACAAGATCATCAAACCCAGGCAACTCAAAGAACTTCGCCAATTCAATCCGTCCATATTTCACTGCTTCCTCTAGTGCTCCAACCTATACATTGTTATTGAGTTGCATATGAATAACACTGTCAAACTTCGCACATAAAAAAAGCATCATTGGCGACTTGGATTCAGATTAATAGTTTGCAAGGAAAAATACACTCGTAAGGCATATGAGAGCCATCAAGTAATTACATTAGGAAAAAGTAGCAATCTAGTGTTATAATATCACTAACAGAATGTGAAAGCATCTGTACATATATAGCATAATGCTATGGTATAATTTTCATATATGCTACAGTAAGCTTTCAGCAAAACAACATATATATGTCCATAGTTATTATTGCCAGTCAAAGATGAAGGATCCCATTCCAAAAAGTACAAAACTATATAAAGCAAAATGAGAGAGAACATATACCCGAACCAATTCAATAAATTTTTGACAGTGTAGCAGAAAACAAGTGGCAGATCTTTCATCCTGCATAAAGCAAAACTGAGTCTCACAGCTCAAACAAAACCAAATATTGATAGTAGCAGAGGCAGAAGTGCAGAGCATGGGTTACAATTTCAAGGCAGCACTAAAAACAAGTGCAAGTATAATTACATACAAGAATTCACAAATTCTTAACTTCAACACTTGCTTGCTAGGTACCATATCCAATAGAGAAAAGAAATTATGGGAAAAACACTTCAAAATTTAGCAAAGAAAGCATCAAATAAGAGTAAAATTCACCGCAATGTAACAATGGCTTTTTCCCCTGCAAATTATATCGTATATGATACTAAGTCTCTTTACCTTTCAATTTTGATTTAAGAAATTCAAAATTTGCTCTGGAGGGCCAACCAATACCAGTTCATAAAATAATTTTACATACCACTACTTAAAGAACCTCTGCCTCTGTATAGTAAAACAGATAATTATGTAAAATCTAAATAAAAATTGCTTTTACCTGAATGATCTGGGGATACCAATCACGAAGTTTGCTGATTGCAGCGTCAATGTCACCATTCTTGATTAACTTTATAAACAGATAAACTGTGTCAGCAAAACCAAATCTTGCATTTGAAAGTAGGAGGGAGGAAAGAAAAAGTTTCTTAAGTAAAATTCTAAAAGCCACAACATAGAGTTCAGAGACTGAGGAATATCCTCAATGATGGGATAAAGAACATGACCATGAAAGTAGAAATAATTTATGAAGGAATTATGGTCAAACATAATTTAAGAAACAGATTTCATTTTTCTCAAATTAAAACTTTCATGCATAGGCAACATAAACTACTAATTCAAATAGAAACACCCGTAGTCGAACAAGTTCATACCTGTCGAAGAGTCCGTCTTTGGTTTAATGCATACGTGTATATCATGTCCTGCTCACTAGAGCCATTCTCTTGAGCTATATAAATAGGAGGAACTGTACTTTTACTAGCCAAGTCAAATGAATTGAGAGTCTCCTCATAACCGTAATGCAACAGGTAGGAGCGAACAAGTCTGATCATAAAACGGAAATGAATAACAAACTAAAGAAATAAGAGCAGTATGGAAAAGCAAAAACGACAATTTGAGCCTCTCAATAAATGGCTATCAAGATGAAGAAATTATTTGCAGATATACATTATGACTGACATGCTGATGCAAAAGATGAGTCAAGGAGGCTCAACTCAAAATTCACTAAATAATAACTATATGCTAAATAAACATTAACCTGCTTATAATCACTAAAAAATAACTATATGGTAATTAAACATTAACCTGCTTATAACACCATATGCCATTAAAATGAATTAGCAAAAAAATCTCAACTGAATACACTGTATATAGAACAGATCCTGACTTTTCTGAAGAACAATTACAGAATACCAAAATGATTAACAGTTAGAGATAACACCGCTTATACATTTAATATAAAATTTGGTCTTCCTAGGTCAGAAAAAACAAGTTATTCTTGTTACAATTACTTAAGAGTACACTATTTTTCTGGCAAGTATTTTTCTGCCTTACTTCCAGACCCCTGACAGTCCATGCTCAGAAAGTCCTGAGGATGATTATTAAAGAAGAGAGAGATGTACCCTCTTCCAAACCCATGCACTTAACTACGTTGCACGGAAACGGAAATGTGAAAGCATGGAAACGTGGAGGAAATGCATAAATACAAAAAATGCAGGGTTATTATTTATAAATATAAAAAATAAATTATTGTAAACCATTAAAGATATTCAACAAGTTAAATCCAATCAATATTTAAACATATTCAGAAAAAAAACTCATCTACAAGTCCCATACTCATAAAAGCACTTGCTTTACGGATTTGTATTTATTTATGTATTTATTTTAATTAGAAAAACGAGTTTCCAAGAGTTTTCAGCATATGGAAACGCATTTCCCAGAGCGGAAACATGTTTTCAAATTACTTAATTTATGGAAACGGCTCCGAAACGTTTCCAAGGAGTTTCCAGAAGTTCCCATGGAGGAAACATTTCCAAAACATGGAAACAGCAGCCAAAGAAAGTTTCCATGCAACATAGCACTTAACATTGTGGCTTTCTAGCTTAAGAGCTTCTTTGAAAGCAATTGCAACTTCACTAAAACCAGTGCTATATTCCCTCATCCCACAATATCTGATCCCAATACCACTGCAGCCCATTCCATCCCATGTTTGTATCACCCAAACCAAAACCCAACGATAATTCATAGATAAACTTATGGAAATAAAAATTTTAAAACTGAAAGATCAAGACAGAAAGAAAAGCTCAGTGGATGTGAGATAAACAAAGAGACATTAATTGCCTCGATACAAAAATAATTAAAATGTAATTTCTAGTATGTTCTGTTGAGAAAATAATAGGACAGAAAACATTCAAGGAACACAGCAAAAACAGGTTCCTGAACCTGAATAAAGCAGAGAACAATCACAAATACATCTCACATACACAGCACAAATTCTGTGATTGAACCTTCAGAGAGAAGTTATGAACATTCACAAAGACAGTAAAGAAGTTATGGAATATGAACCTTCAAAAGCTGTAACTTTCATTGATTACTTTAGTTCTTGTACAGAGAACTACAATATATGAAGTACAACAAAAATCACAGCCATACCTTAACCATGCTCGACTTCTACCCATAACTAAGCATCCTTAGTTAAACACTCAAGCTAAATCCATACGGCTATCTAATCGCACTAACTTTACCTACTGGACAGCAGTTTACAATAGAAAAGATAGGACTAACTTTCCCTCCAAAATTCAAACTAACTTACAGTATCTCAACAAAAAATCTCATCACTCCTACAATTTCTTCCAAAGTACACATCCATCACTAAAAATAAAACGGTGAAATTATGATGTTAGAAAGAGAATCAAGTTTTTTATGAACTTACCCGTAACTGACATTCGGTGGCAATGATATCTTCTCAATTGTCATTTGTTGCTTCATCCTTTCTTGGGCTTCATATTCCTAATGAAACAATTATATGAAAAGGAGGCAATAATTTCAACTCAAGCAAATGAGCCAAGTTTTTCTTTTTTTAAAAAAAAAAATTACCATAAAAAAATAAGAAAATATAAATGTTTAATATGTGGATTTAGATCCTTAAAATTCTTGATTATTAACAGTATATGTCATTTCAGCAACACCACATGGACTGTTACTCAATTCCAGCAAGACTAAACAATAAGATATGAAACATCAATTGCCTCACAAAGCACAAGTTCATCTAAAATGATTATTATAAACTGTAAAGTGCCAGGTAAAATGATATCCAGAAGCAAGTAATAGTGATGAATAAATAGAAATGTGTACTCTAAGTCACTAATATGGAACAATCATATGAAGCACCATCTAAGTGCAAGATCTTGCTGGCCAGCATAAGGGAATACTTTTGAGTTCTCGTGTGCAGGGGGAGGTGGGGTATTGGTGCTGCCTGCCAGTTTGACAGGTTTCGAATTTCTACCCTCTTGCACTATAAGGCATGGAATTGACCACTTGGTTACTTGCTCAATTCTTAGAGGGAAGATATTTCAGTTTATTGACTCTCATATAAACACAAAAATGGATTTCCTAAGATTCAGAATGATCTCAAGTGACATGATGCAGCATGAAAAAAAAATTGCTTAACAAGAACAAAAGAATATATTTGCAGAAGAAGAAAGATGAGGATATCTTGCCTTAAGATCAAAAGCAAATTGTTTCTGTCCAAAGTTGACTTCAATCCTACCAAATTGAACTCAAATATTCAGAAACCAAAATATTTACCAACATAAATAATCAGCATGATTTGCAAATCAGAGGAAACAAGTAGAGAATGGAAAGAAACTGACTTGTAGCCTTTATCACCACGTTAATATAAATAACTGAAAACATAGAAACTAAACATTTTCAATCATAAAGTTCTTGTACTGAGAAATCAACCAAATATTGTAATCTGGTTTAGTTGTCAACAATTTAGCTACCTAAATGCAAGATCTTGGGAGATAAACAAATCAAGAAACCTCAAAAACACATTCTTCATCTCCAGTTGTTTCTCAACTCAAATTCTTTACAGTTGATTTTACAGAAAATTCCAATTTAGTAGAATATAAGATGATAGGTTTAAAAGATAATTTCCATTTTTGTTTGGATTTCAAAATTATGACGCTAGAATTTTGTTTGTTTTATGTTATGATTATAACTACTTGTCCTATGTAGGATTGTGTCTTCTTACACTAGTGCATGTGTCTCCTGTTGCTCAGGCAAGTGCTTGCACCTTGCACCAAGGCTCTACGACCCCTTTGCACCTTGTGCGTTTAATAACTATGGCATTGGATTTAAAATTCAATCCAGTCCCAAAAAGTCTATAATGGACAATGCATACATGTGCATGAACACACAAAAAGAAAAAATTAAAAGAAATGGAATTGAAATCAAAACAAGGACCTCACAAATATGTAACACAATATGGTTGAAAATACAGGCAAAACCTGTTTGTGCATGCCACATGAAAATGAATTGAAATACCATAGGATGCAAAATCAGACAGTAAAGCATGTCATCCTTAGAATATGAATCCAAGTGAGATTCAAATTTGTTTTTAAAAACCATATAGTGCCTTTGTTTCTGCCTAACAAGTTATAAACATAATACTTCAACTGGCAGAAAATCAATATTAAAATTCCAGTTCCCAAAATTATCCTATAAATAGCCACATCAAATACCATACAGAAGTTAAAAATTATGGTTATGGCACAAATAATTGCACATAATACTTTGATGTGCTGAAGTATCAATTCAAGTGTATTCAAACACAGTTTAATCTTATTTTTCTAAATCCATTTTAGCTTGGTTTTGTTTAATTAAGTAATCAACAAAACATAGTAACAATACAATTCAAAGAGGGATTTATTTCCCTAAAAATCTTAGCATCAAAATCATTATCACCATAGACCTAGCTTTCCAAAGTAAAAAATAAAAAATAAAAACTTCTGTGGTGGCCAGATAAGCATCATATAATGCTTGTGGCACAAGTCAAATGAATTAGCATTCAGGCAAAAGATGACTCAATAGTCAATATATGAATCCATATAATCGATTTGATGATCACCACTAATCAAAAATTACATAGAAGGCAATGCCAAAACTGCAATATCTAAATCTTGCACAAGAAACAGCGCACAAGCTGTCCCAAAAAAATAGCTAAATTGCATAGATATTTAAGAGGAGAATGCATACTCTTCATTCTGGCTGTGAACTGCAACTGTAGGGAACAAGGGACCTTTCATATCCTTGTACACTGACCCAACTATCGCTCCATTTTTACTGCAAAATAAGAACACATGTAAATAAGGATCTTGTGAGTTTACAATGTTACAATTTAGACATGCAACAATACTTTTAATCCAATAAAAAAAATATTACAGACCAAAGTGGGCACTCTCTTACGTGAAAAAGAATTCCTGTGCAGCATAGTTAATACCAGCACCAACAGTATCCTTTGCTGTAAAAGTTGGGCCAAAAGGCTCCCCCTTTCCTTGTCCACGATACAGATGTCCATCATCTCCATGATATCCACAAGTGTTTGCTTCCCATCTGCCACAGGAGATGACAAAGAAAAAAGTCAGTAAAGAATTGCGCTGCCATATATCTATTACTAACAACAAGTAACAAGGTATTGAAACTCAAAACTTATATATACTGTGAAAAGAAAAAATTACCGTTCAATTGCCAATCAAGGACCCTTTTTATCCTAATGTTTTAAGAATCTCTTATGAAAATGATCATCATATAATCCATCAATTGCTGAATATCTAAATCTTCCCCCGATCGATAGAACATCCAAAAAGGGGACATTTGACATTTTTTGCCAACTCAGTGAAACATGCCTATTCTTGGAACTTTACGCATGAAAAGTCCACCTAAAGCATTAGACATTAGATCTGTGAATTTCTTTTTAAACTCACTTTGACTTTTGCAGCATACTAATCACACTAAATTGTTTCCTCAAAATTTAAAGTCGAGAAGTTAAGAATATAAGTATCCAAAAAATTAATAAATAAAAGTCCTTGAAAACTGAAAGGGGCCAATCATCACCCTAAGCCTTTTTGTTGCCTAACCACTCCAATTTGGACCTTCAACCTTTCAACAATAGGGTAAAGCCCTCAAATTAGTGATAATTAAATATACTATTATGATAATATTCTTTTATGCTTTCCTTCTGTAATATGTTGCATATCTACATCACAAAAATGTCATCTAGTTCATAGATCTCTGGGCTTGAAGAATGTTTTTTTTCTCTCTTTGGTTTTACTTATTCTATTGGATATTCTAACTTTATCTTATGTAATTTTACTTACTGGATGGTATTCTCCATGTCAACAAAATACCATAAATTGCACTCATTCAAAATGGCTACATCTCCATCCTAGTCACTTCAACTATTTGGAGCACCAGCAGAGACAATTGGTTCTACTTTGCTAGATCTTCAGAAACTATAAGGAATAGACTAGTTTAGAAGGAATGGGCAAAGAGGAAGAAGACATGGAGAGCCTCAACAAGAAAGAAGGGAAAGAAGATCTTTTTCCTGAAGATGATAGGCATTATTATTATTGGATTCTCCAGAAATTGCTTGAGAATAAAATCTAGGCTTTTATTGACCTTTTGTATTCATTATTGAACTGTACTCAGTTGTGGTTTCTTTTTTTACTCCTATATGCAGGCAACTACTATTGGAGATTTGAACTAATGTTCGTAGACAACAATCATTTATCTTCTTTGAAGTGTTGGTATTTCCCTATGAATTCTCAGATATTTTGGAATTATATAATAAATTGAAAGTGTTATATTTATTCGAGTGTTTTAAGAACATAATTTATAAACGCACCTCAAATCTCTGAATCTGAGCACCGTTATTCTTGACAACTATGCATGAATGTGCCTACCACTTTTAAAAAACTGTTCTTTACCCAAATTCAACAAAAGGGTGTGGGTTCCTTTTCATTTTTTACTAATAAAGTTCACAGAAACATTCCAGCACATTTAAGCACCAAAAACTTAAAACCAATGTATAACAATGGATTTGAAGACGATAATTTATCAGTTATCTGCTTTTTAACATTTTTTCCACACTCACCCAGTTTCTTTACTCTTTTTTCCAACTATAATTGACATTATAGCTCTTCACTTATTGTTTCATTTCTATACAATTACTCTGCAACCACACAGCCACAATCAAATTCATCACACCAACTCACTGAGCACAACCTTCAAGGAAAGACAAAATCTAGCAACCAAATGCACCTACATTGGCCTCAAGGCTCTTTCATTTCTATCATATCCTCATATAAATACCTCATCAAATAAAATTCCAAGCGAAATTTCCATATTCAACAAAAATCCAAAAGCATAAAGAAAAAAAGAACATACCCGGGCTGTCTTCTCATCTTAAAACTCTCATTAGTGAATCCAATAGCAATCTGTCCTTTAGCCCCAGCATTCTTAACATATATCTCGAAGTAATAAACAAGCCGCTTAACAGGAGCAGGCCTATTAGCTTGAACGGCGCCAACATCATGGCCATGAAGGTTAACGCTTGTGTACTTAACAGAAAGTTTATCTGTTGACATCAGAAGAAACCCTCCGGAGCTGTTGATCGTGTTAAGCTCAGTAGGCTCATCTTCCCGGTCATCCTCCTCCATCATCGTCGATGCAGAAGCAGGAGCCCCAGGCTCCTGCAAGCACTGGCGCGCGAGGTTCAGAAAGTAGGAGCCGGGATCTTGGTGATTATTGGAATGAGCAGTGGTGGTGCTGCCATTAGAGATGGTGGTAGTTGTGGTGGTTGTGTTGTTTGCCGAGCTCATTTTGAGAATTCTAGGGTTATTGATGGATCATTTAACCGGAAAATTGCGGCGGATTACAAAGAGAGAGAGAGAGAGAGAGAGAGGAATTTTGCGTTGGCTTGAAGAAATGAAAGAGAGAAGGGAAAACTGAGGAAAGAAGTATCTTTCTGTGAGCTAATTTCAGGTTGCAGGTTTTGATTCTCTGCTGCTAACTGGGATGAGGTCGGGGCCAGTTTCCGACGTGGTCGAATCAGGTAGTTTTAGTTTAATTTTCGACGGTTATGATTCCTCAGCTTAAAAAATTTATATTTTGGGGTGACTTGTTTTTCTTAAAAAAATTTTTTAAGTACCAAAATGAATTTTTGTTTTTTTTTTTTTGAGTATCGAGGGAGGTGATTCAAAATCTTTTTTATAAGTCCTATATATACTTACCACTAGAGTATATTTTAGTGTGTAAGTATGAAATGAATTTCAAACTTATTAACAAAACAAAAAATGAATATGAAACTATTTCAATTCATCCAAATTAGGCTTAAAAAAATTTTTTTGATTCACCTCTAAATTTTTAGTTTTTGTAATTAAATATTAGTTGTAATTTTTTATTATATCATCTAGATATTTATAATATTTAGACGTAATTTTATATTGAAATTGATTTGAATTTTGGCTAATTAAATATATAATTTCATACTATGTATATATTTTAATTCAATTTATAAATCACTTTTTATCCAATTTAAAAAGTAATTATATTTATCTATTGTAATTCTAAACTTAATGGAAGGGAAAAAAAAAATAGAAGAACCAAATATGAAAGATACTCTATCACTTCTTTTACTTTCGAGGAAATTTCTATTTTGGATGTTTATTTTATATAGAGAATTTTACTCTACGTGAAAATTTTGGAAAGGATGCCAAAAGAAAAAGTCTAAAATGCCCTTCAATAACCTCTATTACTGTCTTTATTTCAGTTCAATTAACAAGAATGGTCGCAAACAAAATGTGGGTTGGACAATTAATGATTTTATGTTTCCAAAGCATGAATAATTGCTACGTTTATGAGCAGCTCAGTAGAAATATACTCAATTTACAAATTTGAGCACAATAAGAGTATTACACTGTCAGGTACCCTAATATGACCACGCATTTTAAATTTTGCACCCTACTAATAAAAAAAAAAAAGTCATTATGTTGATATTACACCTCATTAATCTAGGCACAAATTTAAAATTTATCAAACAAATTGAATTGAAATTCTTTCGTGGACTATGTGTATACGCGTTATATAGAAGTGTGCTCAGCTTTACACATGTGGATATGAATATGACTATTTTTCTTGGAAAGTTTTCATAATATGGTCACGATTTGTATTGTTGTATCCTACCTTTAAGAATTGCTTTTAAATTGACACTGCACCTGAATAATATTAGCACAAATTTTCGTCATAGCGAACAAACTCAATGCCTTTCTTTCTAGACTTAGTTTATGAAGAAGATGAGTTCGTCATGCTGACAACTTTTTGCTTACTATTGCCTTATTTTTAAAAACGATGTAAATTTATTGAATTTGAAGTTAAGGAGACTTTTGGAATCCTCAAAGATTTTAACTAATAAATGCATTTTAAATTGACACTGCACCTGAATAATATTAGCACAAATTTTCGTCATAGCGAACAAACTCAATGCCTTTCTTTCTAGACTTAGTTTATGAAGAAGATGAGTTCGTCATGCTGACAACTTTTTGCTTACTATTGCCTTATTTTTAAAAACGATGTAAATTTATTGAATTTGAAGTTAAGGAGACTTTTGGAATCCTCAAAGATTTTAACTAATAAATGCACTTTTGAAATATTCTAGTAATGAGTTGGCTTCCTCTCTATTCATTATATATTTAAAGTTGATTAAGGGCATTATAGCTAGAAAATTGATAGATTGATGTTTAATTACTTTCTTAATCCTAGAACTTTTTCTGTTTTCTCTAAAGTAAGAGAATAGTGGAAGTATTTTTTAATAATCTGACAATTATTTATAAATATATATTAATTAATTATTGTATAATAAGCAATTTTTTTTAAAAAATAAAATAATTAACTAAAAAATAGAAAGTAAAATGTTAAGAAAGGAGAGTACCAAGTCAATATTTTAAGGAGGGTGTCCATTCTAAACTTGCCATCTCCAGTACTGTCCTCCCACTTGGTAAGTTTGAATCCCACCTTAAATCTTCTAAACTCTTTTTCTTTAATTAATTTGGCAGTTTAAGTTAAAAATTGCAATACCCCAAAAGTTAAGTTTTAAAATTACGATATTGATTGGCTTAGGAATTGATGGTATTTCACTAAATTGATACCAAATTAGATTTTATAATTGAATTTGAAGCATTTTAATATTTGGATTATGTAAAATAGCTAAGCTTAGATTTTCTAGCCACCGTAAGTGGTGGTTTTGCAATGGTGGTTTCCAACGAGCGAAACCCTTACACTCAAAATGATGCATTTTTCTTGTAGATTATGAATATGTGATTAATTTTGCAATTTAGCACCATTTGATAGTCGTATTAACGAATTATAGTTATAGGTAACTAAGCTTTGAAGCCAAAAACTGACATAAATTAGTATTAAAATGGTTATTCGATGCTAAAAATGTATGACTAGTTAGTTTATAAGGTAGTTAATGATTAGAACCAATTAGAATTACTCTCTTTGTCGCAAAATATAAGTCGTTTAAGGTTGTTGCACAATGATTAAGGAAGCAATTAATTATCTTAAATTACAACAAACTCAAAATAATTTGACCAAATTATTCTTCATCTTAAATCCAATAGTTATTTGTCAAAGTATATATTGTAACTAATCTAAATAAGTGTAACATTGGAAAAATATTGTTTATTACTCCTTAAAATATTTAAAACGACTTATATTTTGGAACAAAATAATCACCTTAAAATGACTTATATTTTGGGACAAAAGAAGTATTGGTTAATGAAAAAGTTAAAAAAAAAGTGAAAATCTTATCTATTAAATCAAAGGTTTAGCTATTTAATGCAAATTTTATTGATTAATTATAGTTTAATGATTAAAAAATCATTGGATATTTACTTGATAAACTTGAGTGAAAGGTTGCCTAATTGCCAAGTTTAGGGTTGATCAAATGATCTGATTTGTTGGATATCCATTTACTTGCGTATTGGATATAGAGCATTTACTTGCATATTGGATATGGAGGTTGTAAATAAAATTTGATGTGCAATCAAATCGGTTACAGATATAGCGCAATTTTGAACGTTTACTTTTATATCTAAATAAAATAATAGACTAATAAACTTTTTTTTTTTTTTGAGTATTAAGGAAGGGGGATTTGAAACCGATCTATTGTTGGATCGTATATGCACTTACCACTAGGCTATGCCTTAGTGTGCATAAACGAATAAGTTTTTATGAATAAAATAAAATGCATTAGTGCATCATGCCAAACTTCATGCCTTATAGGAATTTATATATAAAAGGTAGGATCTTTGTGTATTAGCAATGGAAGAAATCAGTCATAATGGTTAAAAAAACATGAGGTTTTGGTTGAATATTTTGGGTTAGTTCTCAAGACAATTTATGACTATCAATTTTCAAGTCATGTAAGTGCTTGACTAACAATTTTCAAATCTTTAATCAAGTGCTTGATGGAAAATGAAGTCCAGGTCTGCTAAAATCTATAAACACATTTTTATATTTTTATATGAATCCAACTAAAAACCATGAAGAAATTGATCTCAACAATTAAGACAGGAGGAGGAACCACTTAAGCACTCCCTTCTGCCAAAATTGTTTAGTTTTACCTATGGATTCTCTTATAATCTTTAAAACATTATTAAACTTGAATCTACATTTCTCTTTATGAATTTTCTAAAAATTTCAAATGTAGGTCATAAGAAAATATTCATTTCTAAGAATTCATTAAGGACATTACTACCAAACTTAGACCACATATCAAACATCATTTTCGAGGGGATTTATCAATCAAAAGCAAGAAACTCACATGGCAATATCTCCCATATGGTTCGGCAATCATGGGTTCTCCACCAAGGAGATGATTTCTCCTTATATCAAGCATACTACAAGAGTATAAAAGCCTCCATTAACATGCTTAAGCATTCAATTCACCCAAATTCAATCAATTAAAACAAAATTCCCAATTTTTACCAAGGCCCCTAGAAAATCAAAAATAAGAAATTGAAAGATGAGAATGAGAAATTGAGAATTAACCATTGAAAGCAAGTTTAAAGAATTTAAAATTAACAATCAAACTTTTGGTTTCCCTTTGTCAACTTTAGATGGCTCTCAACCTATAACAAAGAGAATAGCTAAAAAAACACAAAAATCCAACTAAGAAGGCATAGAAAATATGCTATGAGATGAGAAAAATAAGAACCCCCAACTACAAATCCCATCGGAGTCATTCATAGGATATTTAATTTCAACATATATAGCTAGATTCTTGGGAAATTTACATTAAACATCTCATATTTGAGAGTTTACAAATGGTCATTAGACATTACTAACACCAATTGCATGCAAAAATCATGTTTAAAAACTCATTGAAACTCACAAATCCCAAATGGGTCTTAAAATCACATAAACTCCTACATAGAAATAAAACTCATAGTCACCATACATAATCCATATATTATCACAAAATCTCATAATAATATACATATCGTTCTCATACACCAAGTACCAAGATTATACATCTTCTGTGATGAATTCTCAAGAAAATTATTCATTACACAAACCAAAGTCACATTTTAAGGTTTATTTTTCTAGAAATCACATTTATATGACAAACACATTACTTGGTGATTCTATCTCTTCTCTTAATCGAAGAAGTTTAGGATTCATACTTTAAATCAAATTTATAGCTTTCAAATATGAAATCCTGGTTTACGATCCAACCAATCTTTCTTTTTACATTCAAATCAATAATAACCTTAGTTTACTATTTAGAAACATGATTAAACTTGAATTATACATTACACTTTATGAATTTCCCAAAATCTCAAATTTAGGTTATAGGAAACTATTCATTTCTAAGGATTCATTAAGGACATTACTATCAAACTTAAACCACGTATCAAACATCATTTTAGAAGGGAATTTATTAATCAAAA